ACATCCTCGCCAACATTTGTTGTTGCTAGTTGTTTGAAGATGGGTTTCTTTTTTAAAACAGATTTATTGAGATATAATTAATATACAATATATTTCACATTTAAAGTATATAGTTACGTTTTTTTAGCATATACACAGACATGTGTAACCATCACTACATGCACTTTTGAACATTTTCATTACCTCAAAGAGAAATATCATAACCAGTAGCAGTTAATCTCCATTTCTCCCAAGCCCCTCAGTGGTAGGAAAACCTGATCTTTGTGTCTATGCATCTGCCTATTCTGAGTGCTTCTTACGACAGGATCTACACGATATGGCCCTTTATGTCTCACTTTTCACTTTTAACAATGCTTTCAAGGTTTCATGCATTAGTACGCAATGTCTTTTTTATTATTGAATAATATTCCATTGTATGGATACATTATTTTTTTGTTTATTAATTGATGGACATTGTTGAGTTGAGTTGGGATGTCTGCCTCAGTGAAGGGCTGGTATGAACAGAGTTGGGTCGTGGGTTTGGGTGAGCAGAAGCATTGGTTTGGGGTAAGTTGCCTCTCCAAAACCTAAGACTTACAAAACCATTTCTGTCTCTTCCACCTCCTCTTCCTCTTTCTTCTTCCTGAAGTGTCCTTGTTGATATTTTGACAGCATACCCTCAGATGTAGTCACCAGCAAAGCTCCCATAGCGCTCCACCATAGTCCATGAAGCTATCCCCACCTTTCTGCCACTTCTTGCTTCTAAGGCCAACTGAATATTTGTCCTGGATTCCTTCATTTATTCATTCAATAAAGGTTACCAAGTGTCCTGACTCTATGAAGAATGTTGGTGCCCAGAGGTTGATGGATGTGGTCACATAGTCATTCCCTGAGTTGTTTGCTCATTAAGCTCTTGTGTTTACTCAATTCCAGGTGCTGCTACGGAAGCTGGGGATAGAAGGAAGATGTGTTGTCTGTTCTCAGGCTCTTTCTCCTGAGGAAAACAGATACAATGTAACTAAATAGCTGTATAATGTGATTTCAGGTAGTAGTTATTTTTAAAAAGAAAATCAAACAAGTTACATGGATAGAGAGTGGTGGAGTGGGGGGATGTACTTGAAATAGGCTGCTCAGCAGAGGTTTCACTGGGGAGATGACCTTTGAGCAGAGACCTGAAGAGTGTGGGGGAATAGCCATGCAGAATCTTGAGGGAGTGTCTCACATACACTGCAGAACCAGAAACCTTCAAGTACAATGAAGGCTCTTAAGGAAAGAGTGTTTCTTTTGGTTACCTCTTCTGTGTTTTTGCTGATTTTTTTTATCCTATGTTCTCTGGTAGCATAGACCTGAGACTGCTCTCCTTTTAGTTCCTCAATCAGATATCCTTAACTCAAGACAGTCTATGTTTATTTCCCTTTCCTGGACACACATAATTGAGAATACACTTAAAGTTTCCTTTGAAGTTAGGTTGGTGCCATGTGACTGGATCTTGACCAAGGGAGTGTGGGTAACCCTGAACCTCCCGCAAAGCTCTTTCTCCCTACTCCATTGTGACCGTGGAGACCACATGTGTAGGATGGGAGTGTCACATATGAAATTAGAAAGGGGTCTGCTTCTCTGAGTTACTGGTAGGTGTAACTTTATCGTGAGAGGGTGGGCCCAGGAAACCTCCATTAGACATTGTAGGAACTAAGAAGCCCTGAGGTAGTAATAGAGGTTGCTTTTACAGCAGCTCCCATTAATTATCCCAATAACATGAACGAACCCAACTTTTACTGACCGTCAGTATGTAAGTGTGTACAAACCAGTATTTTCATTGTAGGAAATTCAGCAAATGAAAAATTGAATATCCTTGTCCCCAAAAGTCCCCATCACTGAGTCTGTCTCTTGCAGATGTGCTCTCCCCAAGTCCTGAGTTCCTCCACCTGCTGCCTTCTCTTTCCCTGGCATCTCTCCTTGCCTGCCCTCTTCACTCCCCTAAGACTGGCATTATTACCAGCTATCATCACGACCTCTGAGCATCTGCCTGACAAGAACTCCTCAACAGATGTATTCCCTGGGTGAATTTATTCTTCATGAACACTTTTAAAACTGTATTTATTTATTTATGTATTTATATTATAAGAACTAGGGTGTAGGTCAGAGGTGCAGGGCATGAGAAGATTCAGTAGAGACAGAGTGGGGAGAAGAAGAGGAAGATCTACTGAAATCCACTGCTGAGGGGAGCTATGGGTACGATAGGAGAGGTCTGCTGTGCCATATGTGGGTCACCTCCCTGGCCGGGGACAGAACTCAGAACCTTTGCAGTGATAGTGCTGAGACTTAACTCCTGGCCATCACGGAAGCCCCCAACTCAGCACCACTTTTGAGGAAGTTTCTGTACTGTCTCCATTTTGCAGATACAAGGACCGGAGGACAGAATAACTTGCTCAGAAACTAGGGGTAGAAATTCTGCTAAACAGTCACCGTCTCCTTAAGGGGAATGCTTTCCTCTATAGAAAGGCATACATCTAATTCAAGCCCAGGGTTGGAATGCACATCCACCTGTCTTAGCTCTCGCAACTCCAGTCCCACCCCTGTGCAGGTATTTTGGAAAGGAGGAGCAATTAATGTAACGAGACCTCTTTAATTAGCTAGAAGTTCCTTAAAAAAATTAGAAACTGGCCCTGTTAAATTAAAGGGTAATTGACAAAGGTGTGAGGAGGGAATTCTGGGCCTCCTCGCTCAGCTCTGAGTATTTACTCAGCATCCTCACCAGTGCCCAGCTACTGCTGGGAAAGCCCCCAGCTGATCTGCATATTCAGCAGCCATAATTAATCGCACTGCTAGTGCGAACTGAGCAATTACACCCACTGCTCTGAGCTGGGGGCAGGGTAGAGCAGCCAGCATGGGGTGCCGCCTGTGGCTTTATACTGATGTGACTGTAGGGAGTGGGTGGAGTGGGGATTATACAGATACATTTACAACATCCTGAGATACACAGATCCACACACAGCCCAAGGGCACTGGGAATCAGATGCTCATCTTGCAGCCTCCCCTGCCACAGCTGCAGATCAAGATCAGGACCCACTGGCCCATTCAGAGAAGGAAAACCACGTTATATACACCCTTACACCCTCAGCTCAGTGCAGACACTGACTTGCATAGCAGGTCCCACATAGTTGCATACTGGTTGTGCCTGGACACACACCCAAACCCCCCCAACATGCACATATAATTGTTTATAAACCCACACTCAGAGGTGCAGCCACCTCTGGGGGGAGACACCTGTTGTCACACAGAACTGCCTCCTGGGGCTTGGCACACACTTGCACAGAGGACACACGCCATAGAGACATGCCACTGACATATAGGTTACATGCACAGACTCACGGAGCAGTAACTCCATTACGGATGCTCCAGCGGCCCCCCCCCCTACAATTTTTTCACTTGTTCACTCATTTGTTCATCGGTTCACTCATCATTCACTCATT